AATAACTTGGTAATGCCCAAGCTCTGTTGTCTGGGTTGTGAGCTGATTTTATGTGTAAGGTGTGACCCCCACAATAAAACATATGCAGAGCCTCTGCATTCATTGGGTCATAAAGATGTCTATTCAGAAGCAATAGACAGTCTAATGTACCTAAACGTGTTTCGTGTCAGTAGTGTAAGTCCTATCTTCGGTCTGTCTGTCTGTTGGTGGCTGAGGCCTGTGTCCTGAGGGGGTTGGTCGTCCCGTTTCGTTCTTTCGTGTCTGCGAGCGGAGTGTTTTTTTTGTCTCCTTAGGTATGCGTAGGATGTTGTGTGTGTTTTGTTTCCCTAAAGTCTGTGGGGGGGGGGGCAGGTCGTCTTTTCACAATCTAGTGTTTCCTGCGTTGGAATACTGTCAATATGCCTATCCATCGGCCCCCCTGTGGGCCTAAGCTAGGTGTCTGTTTATTGCCTCGCCTCCGACCACCACTGCTCGGCTCGCCTCTTGTGTGGATGGGAGGGCAGGGGAGGACCGTGGGTGTAGAGGTGGAGGGGAAGGCCCCATCCCCACCCGCAGGCCCCAGGCAGGCTGCCTGGCTTGTGGGTGTCTGTTCTGATTTCCATCTGTTCGGGATCAGAGCCTTTGCCGCGTTGAGGAGGTGTTTTGTCAAGGATTTTTTATACTGCGAGAGTGGTGTCTGGGTGTGGTGGAGCAGCATCCGGAGCGGTTGAAATGGAAGCTCGGTGTCCTGTATCTCTTGGATAGCTCCGTGTATCTCCCGCCAGTAGGGGGCTATCCTTTCGCACGACCACCAAATGTGGAGGTCTGTTCCTGGTCTCACCCCACATCTCCAGCATGCGTCTGGGACTTCGGGCAGCATGCAGTGGAGCCTTTCCGGGGTACGGTACCAGCCAATGAGTAGCTTGTAGTTTAGTTCTTGTAGTTTGGAGCACATGGAGCTCTGGTGCGTGAGAATATATATTTTGGTCCACTTGGCGTCGGTGAGCTCTGTTCCCGTCACTCTCTCCCACCGTGCTTCGTGTTTTGCTGGTTCGAGTGAGACCTTCGACCTGAGCATAGAGTAAAGGACTGAGATCCCCCGGGGGATGTGCGTCCCGCTGTCGCAATATTTCTCGAACTCTGTAAGGGGCCTGTGAAAGAGATGTCTCCCTTGTTGGGCATTATAGTAGGTCTTGATTTGGAGGTACCAAAATCTCTCTAGCCCCGTTGGGGTCTCGTTCTCCATTTAGTCGGGTAGTTGTTTGAGTGTAACCGTGGTGCACCATTGGCGTATGTGGGTTCGGCCCGCTCCGCCGAAGGCTGCCACATCCTTGGGTAGGAGCCCCCCTGCTACCTCGGGATTAAAGAGTACTGGGGTCATCGGCCCTGGTAGTGTGGTGAGAGAGAGTTTCATCCGAATTGCTTTCCAGATTTTCAGTGTTGCTCCGATGAGTGGGTGGTTCTGGGCTTGGGTATCCTTCATGATGTCGTATCCAGACTAGTGCCGGGATCCATGTGTATCCAGTGGTTGGGCGTGTGTGGGAAATGCCACGCGACAATACGTAATAGGTGTGTGGCTCTGTGGTACTCCCTCATCGATGATAGACCCGTTCCTCCCTGTTCCTTCGGTCTGTGAAGCAGAGTCCTATGAATCCTGGGCGATTGATTGCGCCATACGAACTTAAAAATATCCAAATCTAGTTGTCGGAAAAAAGTCGTGGGTAGGCTGATTGGGATCATTTGAAATAAATACAGTAGGCGAGGGAGGTGATTCATTTTGATGGCATTCATTCTGCCGAACCAGGAGACATATAGGCAAGACCAGCGTACCATGTCTGTCTTGAGTTGTAGTGTGAGCGGAGCGAAGTTATGGGTGTATAGGTGCTTGAGGTCTGTCGGGAGCCAGATACCGAGGTACTTCAGTTTGGTGGTGCACCACGTGAATGCGTGCGTAGGTGGGTGGCCTCCTCCAGTTCGGTCGCAATGAGCATTGCTTCTGATTTGTCGGTGTTAAGTTTTAATCTTGATACCTGTCCGTATTCCTGAAATGCTTTTAAGATGTTCGGTAGTGACACCAAGGGGTTGCTGACGAAGAATAATAAGTCGTCGGCGTATGCCGCTATCTTGTGTGTGGTGCCCTTCAGGGTGAATCCAGAGATGCCTCCGTCCCGTCTGACCGCCCCCAGGAACAGTTCCAGGGAGAGGGCAAACAGGAGGGGGGAGAGTGGGCACTCCTGTCTTGTCCCATTTCGGATCTGGAACGTTGGTGACAAGGCCCCGTTGACGCGTATCCTTGCGTTCTGTATGGTGTATAATGATGCGATCCATGCCAATATGCACGGGCTGAATCTCATCTGCTCCAGGGTAGAGGTCATAAATTGCCAGTCCACACGATCGAACGCCTTCTCCGCGTCCGTGGATAGGAGAAGGGTTCGTTGTTTTAGCTGTCTCGCCGCGTCAATGATGTTCAATGCTCTGGTGGTATTATCTCTTGCCTCCCTTTCAGGGATGAATCCCACCTGATCCGGATCCACCAGTTCCAGAAGAAATCCCTGTATTCGTGTGGCCAAGACTTTGGTGAAGAGCTTAAGATCTGCGTTCAGGAGAGATACCTTCCCTTCCTTTGGGATAATCGTCACCGTTGCTGCCAGGGAATCTCTGGGGAATGCGCCTCCTCCCCTTATCGAATTTAGGCTTTTAAGGAGCTGTGGTAAAAGTACGTCCCCGAACTCTTTGAGGTATCTGGCCGGTAGCCCATCTGGGCCTGGGGCTTTATTCAGCTTGCTGGATTTCAGGGCCGCCTGCAATTCCATGATGGTAATGGGTGCCTCTAACTCCGCCGCCTCTGCTTCGCTCAGGGTCTTCGTGATATGTTGTTGCAGGTATGCAGTCCTTCATGTGGTTCTTAGTTGCTCTGTCTCCGGAGATTCCTGGCATCTTAGATTGTAGCGATCCGTATAGTATCTGTGGAATTCTGACGTTATTTTGTCCGGTAGGTGGGTGGCTGTGCCCTCTCTCATTTGAATTTTGGTGATATGACTCAAACGCATTTGTCTCTGTAGTGCTCTGGCTAGGAGCCTCCCACATTTATTTGAATATTCATAGAAAAAGTGCTTGAATTTGCGGATCGTGCATTGTAATTGTCGGGACAAGAGTTCTCTGAGGGCTTGCCTCGCTTTGAGTAGTGCCTTGTAGGTAGCATCTGTTTGGGTGGATTTGTGTGTGTCCTCCAGCTTCTCAAATTTACTAGTTAGTTCCTCCATTTGTCTCTTCTGTTCTCTTTTTCTCTGTGTACATACTTTAATTAGGTGTCCCCTCACCATACATTTATGTGCTTCCCAGGTTGTCAGCGGCGGGGTCTCCAGCGAGTTGTTCTCTTCGAAGTATGTGGTGATAACGGTTCGGAGGTCTGCCACCATAGGTATCGCTGTTAATATGGATTTGTTCCTCCTCCATTGGTATTAGAAGGCGGCCCGATGCATAGGTTGAGTCTGGTGGCGGTGGCATCTTCATGTGTCTTTCTGTGTGCTCAAGTTTATGTCGTGTCCCCTGCTTGGGGACCCACTCAAGGTGGTGCCAAGCAGTACTTGTCTCTCCCCGGTTCGGGAGGTTACAGTTACTTGGTGCCTGTGGTCTGGCGGAGTGTGACGTCCCCGTGTGGGGGCAGTCTCTTCCGCTCACACCAGGGCCAGGTAGGCACCTGTCACTTGGGGTGTGCGCTGTCACGCACGGAGCAGTGTCTGTGCCTCTTTTCGTTTCGCTAGTTTAGCTCTAAGCTATGGATTGTGTAACTGACTTTGTTATAACTATTAACAAGTGTAGTGGGAAAGTGTATCTCTCTTAAGCCTGTGTCCGCCTCCCCGCCCGGGTGGCCTATGTTACACTAAGTTGTGATGGTCATCAGTAGCCATTAGATGTCTGGGCGCACTTTGGCATTATCTGGTGAGTGTGGTTACCGGAGTTGTTCCTTGGGTGCTGAGTCCTTTGGGGTCTGCATGTGGGGCGTCCATTTGTGTGTCTATGGCAGTATGGTAGGGGGTAGGTCCCTTATGTTTATCTCCGTCTGGTTGTGGGGTTATCTGAGGGTCTCCTATATGTCTCCCCTGTTCTGGGCAAAGTCATGCATCTGTGTGCTCAGATGAGTGCGGGTGTCCGGGTCCCAGTGCTTTGTTGTGGGTGGTACTTGGGTGGTCGGTCTGGGTCTCTGGGGGTCTAGCTCACCCCTACATTCTCTCTACTCTTCGGCTATTATATCCAGTCCTGCATCTCCCCATTATCTCTACCTCCCGTCCTCCCCCCCGTCTCGCTTATTCCCGTGGGGTTTACGTGTTTAGCTGGGTGCTATCCTTGTCAGGTACTTCATTCCCGTCCTTGTCTGTACCTCTCCCCCCACCCCCTCGTGTTGCTATGTGTCTCCATATCCTGTGTATGTGCGTTTGGGATGTTTGACTTTGCCTAATATATCAAACCTTGTTAGTGCAAAGTTCTTCTAGTCCCAGGCTTTACATCCTGTATCCCCCCCTCCACCCCTTCCCTCTGCAGCCCCTTAGTCCGTGTTCCCATGTCCATGCATAGCTCTCTGTTGTCAAACTATTGCTCAGAGTCGTGGTATTCCCCCCTCTGAGTTGTTTTCAAGGAGTCCCAAACTGGCGGTCCCTCCCACCCGGCACCCTCCCAATCTGAGCTTGGTTCTGGGCTCTGGACTGTCCGTGCCCAGGCAGGCCATTGTGTCCCTCAGTTCCCTTCTGTTGTCTGTGATCCGGCGCGCTCTAAGTGTCCCCAGGTCCCCCTCCCAATATTGTCCGATCCCCCCCCTCATTCCCCCATTCCCACTGTGTGCTCCTTGTACAGTTCACTCACCAGCCGCATGTGCTTTGCCTCTCGCTACCGGCCTCTTACTCCTCCGCTCCTGCCATGTTGTGTTCCTGTTGCGTGTAGAGGGGCCAGTGGGTCTCTTCTCGCTGCCAGCACCTCCTCCGTTATCCAGTTTCGAACTCTAATCGATGGTAGGTGCATCAGTGTCATCTTTTGTCAGCATCCTGGATGAAATCTGGGCTGCTCTTATCAGGGCCAGCTCGTTTGGGTGGTCTCCCTCTGTCTGGTTTGCCTCTGATCTTTCGCGGTCCGGCGAGGCGGGCGCTATCTTGGATGTCGGCCGCGTGTCTCTCGGCTCCGGTTGTGAGGCGATGTACCAGTCCATTGGGCCCATGCAGCGTCGGGGGGGATTCCGCCGCCGAGGCCCCGGGCACCAACTGCTTCCTGTTGCGGATCATGTCGGGTTAGAAGTGCGCTATTTTAATTGCTTTTTAACGGCCGGGGACGCGGAGCTCAGTGCCTAAGCGTCCTGCTCCATGTTCGTCCAGGCCACACCCCTCATTTGCAACATTTGTATCCTTCTCAATCCCACCACTTATTACTGGCAGCAGCCATGCCTCACTTTCCTTATTAGTCCAGGGAATCCATTAAATATTGAACCAACTAGACTACCACGTAGTCCACAATAGCGACAGAAGAGTATTGGATAAGGACAACAGCCACAGCTTTATTACCATCAAATTTCAAACAATGCGCCAGCATTCCTTCCACCTGACAGCTGTTGGGGTGATTACCTAACAGACAGCCCATGATTTTCCAGAGTCTTGTACAGCTTGCCTTCCACCATCAGCTCTAGCAGGCTGCGCCTCCCCAAGCCAACTCGACACTTGAATCAATTGCGATGGCATGGAACAATGCCCTGGACCTGTCCCATTGCCATGATTGCGCCCCCTGCAGACAGTACCTATTCAATCCCCCCTTGCAGGTCTAAATTAACGATATCCAGACCAATGGGATTCAGGTGAACTCCATTTGCCCTAGTCAATTTTAATTTTCTCCATCCAAATCCACATGGCACACTGCAATCCGCCACCAGGCAACACACAAACCTGGAGAAGGAGATTACCCTTCATTACCCTTAATTCTCTGTATGTCTATTATCTCTAGACTTTCTATTATCTCTTGCAGCAAGGAAACATTACTGCTTAACACGGGCCCGGTCGGGTGCCGCGGTCCTTTAAGACGTCGGCCGGCTGGGATAAAGTGTCAGCCTGTCACTTCCTCTCATCTCAGCATCATGCAGAGAGACAGCGCAGGAGGGAGAGGAGACAGTCTCAGCATGAGGGGAGAGGAGCATGAAGAGCTCCAGACCCCTCACTCCCACCAGCAGCAGCAGGATCAGGACTCCAAGCCACCCTCCTGGACACACAAGGTAAGCTAACAGGAGGGTGGCTGGAGATATTAAAAATATAATTTGTGTGTGTGTATGTATGAGTATGTATGTATGTATGTGTGTGTGTGTATGTATGAATGTGTGTGCGTATGTATGAGTTTGTGTATGTGTGTGTGTGTGAGTGTGTGTGTGTCAGGGTGTGCATCTGTGTGTGTGTGTCAGGGTGTGCATATGTGTGTGTGTGTGTATATATGTCAGTGTGCTTCTGTGTCAGTGTGTGTGTCTGCACACATCTGTGTGTCAGGATATGCATCTGGGTGTCATTGTGTGTGTGTTTATGTCAGTGTGCATCTGTATCATGGTGTGTGCATGTATCAATGTTTGTGTGTGTCAGGGTGTGTGCGTGTGTATATGTTGGTATATGCGTGTGTTATGATGCATGTATGTGACGGTGTCTGCATGAATTTGTGTGTATGTATATCTGTGTAAGTATGTATGTATCAGGGCTTGAGTCCTGCTAGAATGCTGTTCCCCATGCAGGCACTCAGGGGGCAACAAAAAATGCTGCCCCTAAATGCCCTGTGTTCCCCTTGACATGGGAGGGGTCACCTGATGGACTCCCCCTGGCGAGCGGCTCTCTCCCTGTCACACGCGGCAAGGGAGCTGTGTCCTCTCTGCTCCCTCTCACCACGCGCCGTTTTCTGATGCAGGGAGCCGGAATATGACGTCATATTCCGGCTCCCTGCATCAGCAGACAACCTGTGCGGCGAGAGGGAGCAGAGAGGACACAGCTCATTCGCCACGTGTAACCGGGAGAGAGCCGCCCGCCCCAGTGGACCCATCCATGCCAGCTTTCCTAAAAGGTAGGGAGGGTGGGTGGGAAATGTTAATTTTAATAATATTAATAATTTGTATATATGTATGTCTGTGTGTGTATGTCTGTTAGTGTGTGTGTATGTCTGTTAGTGTATGTGTGTGTGTCTACGTCTGTTAGTGTATGTGTGTGTGTGTGTGTATGTCTGTGTGTGTGTGTGTGTGTGTGTGTATGGGTGTTAGTCTATGTATGTGTGTATATCTGTTAGTTTATGTCTGTTAGTGTATGTGTGTGTTTGAGTGTATTTACATCTGTTAGTGTATGTACGTGTGTGTATGAGTGTATGTGCTTCTGTTAGTGTATGCACGTGTATGTTTGTGTGTATGTGCTTCTGTTAGTGTATGCACGTGTGTGTGTATGAGTGTATGTGTTTATGTTAGTGTATGCATGTGTATGTTTGCGTGTATGTTTGCGTGTATGTGCTTCTGTTAGTGCCTGTCAAATCAGTGAGAGTCTGTTTGTCATTTAGTGTGTGTGTGACTATTAGTGTGTGTCTGTCAGTGTGTTTGTGTTTGTCTCTCTGTCAATGAATGAGTGTGTGTCAGTGAATGGGTGTCAAATCAGTGGCATCTGTGTGTTTGTCATTGAGTGTGTGTGTTACTGTCAGTGTATATCTGCCAGTGTGGGTGTCTGTCAGAGAGTGTGCTTAAAGTGACATTATAGGTACCCAGACAACTTCAGCTCATTGAAGTGGTCTGGGTGCAGTGTCCCAGTCCCCTTAAACCTGCAAGTGTATTTATTGCAGTTTCTCAGAAACTGCAATAATTACTTTGAGGGGTAACTCCACCTCCAGTGGTTGTCTACCAGACAGCCACTAGAGGGACTTTCGGGTGGTTAGGTGACCAAAAGTCGCCTAACTGATGCTGGACGTCCTCACCCTGTGCATGAGGACATTCAGCATCTGCTAAATACCCATAGGATTTTAACCACTTCAGTGTCGAGTGGGGGAGTGGAGGATATGAGGGAGGGGGGCACTATAGGGAAATATAGTGCCGGGAAAACAGCTTTGTTTTCCTGGCACTATAGTATTTCTTTAAAAGGAGCAGGAAAAGGTGGAGTCTAAAGAGGAAGGGGTGGGTTCTTAATCAGGAAGCGGTGTGCCCTTGACAGGAAGGGGTTGTAAATTTAGATTAGGGGGGTGCTCAGGTCTAGTCATGCCTAGGGCAGCACAAAATTAAAATACACCACTGTGTGAGTGTCTGAGTATGTGGGAGGGGGGGAAGGGGGAGTTTTCACACTTTTTTCCCCAGGACTCCTGGTATGTATGTATGTAGTAGTGTATGTGCATACATCCAAGCAGTCATACACCAGCACAACATACAAACATACTTTTGCAATGTAGCTCAAATATTACATACAAACACACCCCTTTATTCAAACGCCAAAAGGATATAAAAACACACCCCTTCACTGAAACACAAATACTTCACACAAATGTATATCCGCATTTAAAAGTGAACATTACATACATCAAACACAATCCTGCAATCAAACACAAACATTACATACAAACACACCCCTGTATTAACCCCTTCAGACCGGAGGGCGTACTATTACGCCCTATTCTAAGCGGCTCTAAACGCCGCCGGGCGTAATAGTACGCCCTCCGGTCTTTCGGTACTTACCTGGTCGCCGGCGATCCCACGCCGGCGATCGCGGTGGGGGGGACTCCCAGGGAGCCCCCCGCGGCACGACCGTCCTCCTCGAAGCCCCCCGGCCGTGTGAGAGTGGGGTCCTTGCGAGGACCCCACAATCACATTGCCGGGGGTAGCTGGCTGCAGCATTGCCAGCAGGGGGACTGCCTGTAATGACAGGTGGTCCCCCTGCTGGCTGAAAATAAAAATAAAATAAATAAATGGTGTAAAAAAAATAATAATATATACTTAGATCATATATATATATAATATATATATGATCTAAGTATATATATACACATATACATACACACACGTACACCGTCTAGGTGTATTTTACTATTAATATATATATTAATATCAAATTACACGTAGACTGATACTGATTAAATATATATATAATTATTGTTATATATATATTTATATATAATATAAAAAATGTAAATACGTTAAAAAATAAAATTAAAAAATAATTAAAAATAAATAATTAAAAAATATATAGATGTGTGTTATTTCGTTCTAACTGTATTGTGAAATTAATATATATATATATATATCAAAATACATGTAGAACAAAATAATATATATATCTATATACATAAATATATACGTATATATCACTATATATATATACAGATATATAAATAAAAATATTTTTAAAAAATTATATAGATATATACACATACGTATATATATACATATATTAATTCTACATATATATTTATGTAATATTTTTACATAATTAGGTATCTTAATTAATTACAATTAGCAGGACCTGCCTGACAACCCATGCCGAAAGTAAAGGGAATTTAATTTGCTAGCACTATATTTAACCCTATAACTTTCCGAGACACCATAAAACCTGTACATGGGGGGTACTGTTCTACTCGGGAGACTTCGCTGAACACAAATATTAGTGTTTCAAAACAGTAAAATGTATTACAACGATGATATCGCCAGTAAAAGTGAAGTTTTTTGCATTTTTCACGCACAAACAGCATTACACGGACAATATTATTGCTGTGATACTTTTTACTGTTTTGAAACACAAATATTTTTGTTCAGCGAAGTCTCCCGAGTACAACAGTACCCCTCATGTACAGGTTTTATGGTGTTTTCAAAAGTTACAGCGTCAAATATAAGGCTTGCGTTTCATTTTTTTCACATTAAAATTCGCCAGATTGGTTACGTTGCCTTTGAGACCCTATGGTAGCCCAAGAATAAAAATTACCCCTATGATGGCATACCATTTGCAATAGTAGACAACCCAAGGTATTGCAAACGGGGTATGTCCAGTCTTTTTTAGTAGCCACTTAGTCACAAACACTGGCCAAAATTGGCGTTTTTTGCATTTTTCACACACAAACAAATACTAACGCTAACTTTGGCCAGTGTTTGTGACCAAATGGCTACTAAAAAAGACTGGACATACCCCATTTGCAATACCTTGGGTTGTCTACTATTGCAAATGGTATGCCATTATGGGTGTAAATTTCATTCCCGGGCTACTATACAGTCTCAAAGGCAACGTAACCAATCTGGCGAATTTCAATTTCA